TATGTATGTATACACACACTCTGCTTGGCTGTGTTGCTTGAAGCGGTGGCTATGAATATGGTTATTGCTATTTGTGGTGGAATTTATGGTACCATGGATACAGCTACAGTGGCAATATTTTCTTTACCCTCTATTCTTTGCTACACAGTGCTCTATGGAAACAAATTTCCCCTTTGTGGACAATAAAATCTATCTATCCATCCATCTACAATGAAACAGACCTTCTGCTGAGCAGCCAGAGCTGAGGGTAGGAATGGGTTTGGATAGAATCTTATTAAATTCAAATCCTTTTGAAATCCCTTATTAAATCTTTTTAGACAGTTTGTTTGTTGAGGAAAGAAGACATCTATTTGTTAAAAATGTACCTTTCTCTTTCACTCAGTGAAATAACAACACAGAGCCCCCAGCATCAGCCTTGTCTCATTCCGGCGCTGGTGGCTCAGAAACATCACTTGTACACTCCTGCACATTCCCAGTCTTTGTTATTTCCTTGCTGATTTAAACCCTCACCCCAAACTACCCCGGTTTATTTTATCTTAATTTCCCCTCCTCTTGCCACAGTTTATTCATCTACTTTATTTAACTCTCTTTTTCAATATATACTGAATACCAGTCTGCATAGAGTTGAAAACATCCTCACTACACACCCTCAACTACACAAACCAAATGTAAAACCCCCTATGGCTCTTTTGTCTATGTTGTCTTGTCATCTATGTTATGTCCTCTGTCCTGTAAACATGCTATTTTGTGTTGCTATTTAATAAAAATTGCAAGTTTCACAGGTGTAACATAAAATAAAACAAACAAACAAAAAACAGTTTTGTGTAACAGAAGATAGAAGGTGATATTTAAGAATCTAGCCTAGGTAACAACCGGCTCTACCTCCTGAGCCACAGCCATCACTTTTCCTAAGCAAGGAAGAGTCAGCAGTGTATACATATGATGGTAAATGGTCTTATACTTGTATAGCACCTTTCTGCACTTTTTACAGCACATTCAAAGCACTTTCACATTATTCAGCCATTCACAAGCACTCACACACTGGTGACATCATCAGGAGCAACTGGGGGTTCAGTGTCTCGCTCAAGGACACTTCAGCATGTTGACTGGACAAGCCGGGAACTGAACCGCCAATCATCCGGTCAGGAACAGAGCCGCCTGAGCCACAGCCTCTGCTTCCTCTACTTGGCTAGCTTCTGGTGTTGTTATGGTTAGTGCGCACTTGTGTGTTTTTAATAGCTTTGACCAGCAATGGACCTCTAGAGCACAGATGAATGAACTGAGCCAGGTTCTAGATTTACATTATGGTGAGAACATAAAATTAATTATTGGTTCTTGTCACTGTAGGGGATTTGTTGAAAATAACAAAAACACAGAAAATCATCAATGTTATCCTTTAAAGCATGGCACTTACAGCAAGTACAGTAATTAACTATGAGTGAATATCACTTAAAGGAATTGCTGGTGCATGCACATTATTGCACTTCTCTAGAAGACAAACTTGTTGTCCTACTACAGGCTCACAGACTGACAGGTCATAGAATATGGCATAACTTTGAGGATATGCTGAAACCAGGGACCTGGATCTAAAATGGAACTGGCTAATGAAACCCATTCCTAGCTGTTGGTGTGCCAGTGTTTGCTCTTGTAAAAACCTGCTGCAATCAAATACATAATACTAATATCTAAAATGTAACAATGTTACACAAAGTTTTGTATTTGGCACAAAAGCAGTTACATGAAAACACAGATTTGTATAATTGTCAAATATTTGTCATGTATTTTAATGGCATTTCTTGCAGAAATATGTTCAATCAGTCAACATTTAATTTGTGTCAATGACTTTTCCACCCTTAAGAAAATATATTGAGGGACAGAGTATTAATGGCTGAACTCAGGCCTGTCTAAGTTCAGTCATTAATACTTGAACAAAATGTCTGTGCCATTTGGGAAAGCCACAGTGCAACTAGCATCCTTCCAAAACCCATACTGGTTGAATTTGACTGTATGCTGTTTTAGAGCAAGTAGAGACTAACCTGGACCTTGATGCTGGACCATCTCCATCAGATCCTGCTGGCTGATGAGGAGAACTATACCTCCAGCAGCGAACAGCAAGAGGAACCAAAGGAAACAGGGCAGCCGCCTTCTCCGTCCACACAGGGAGTCCACCACCATTTTCCACTTCATCATGTGGTACAGTCAGACACTAATGTTATAAGTTCTGGAGAAAACCAAAGAAATGAGAAATGGGAAGAGGAGAGGGAGTGAGACAGGAAAAATTTGAGTGAGCAAAAAAAGTGTGTTCAGAGTTTTTCATTTCCCTGTATCAATGTTGCAAAGCAGAATTCATGCTGTTGTACTTTACCTGGGTGTTTCCATTTTAAACTACTTTAAAATTTTTATCTTTGCAGATTTGCATTTTACAAATAAAACATATGATCATCTTCTTCAATATGATGTGCTTTTATTGATTACTACTAAACAGTATATACAGTAAACTAGTTGAAATTGGCTTTGACCAAGAAAAAAAAGCTGTAAAATGCAACCAATATGTGAATATATCCATAACAATAATCCAGTAGTATAATGTATAATGGCATAACATTCACAGTGAACATTTTTATAAGTATTTTTCCTTTTGATGCTTTAAATGTATTTTTTCAGCATTTTACACAAATGATATCAGTGCAGAACCTTTACTTGTAATAGAGTATTTTTATTTGGCAGTATTGCTACTTTTGCTCAACTGATCTGGATATTTCTTCTACCACTGGTACTGTTTACCTACCTACCTACCAACCAAACAACCAAACATTTATTTATATAGCACTTTAAAAGCAACGTCTGGTTGACCAAAGTACTTTACAAGGGCAACATATAAACCAGAATAAATAATATCAATAGAGAAATAAAACAACGTAGGAACATAAAGACACAAACTACACAGAATCAATAAAGAAGGAAGCATCAAACACTACTATGTATTTTAACCATGTTTATGTAAATACTGTAGCTGGTCTGAACTCATAATAAATAGATGGTGTATCTGCTTGCAATGAAAATGATCCTCCAAAATGAGTTGTATTTGTGATCTGAGTATGCAGTAGTTCCTCATTTGCAGAAAAAATAGACTGTCCTAAAATGAACACTAGATTGATTACAGTTTTTATAGCAGCATTATTGGTTTCAATATGCACATGCACAGGAGAGGCAGTTTAGTTTAGGTTACAGACATACAGAAGGACAAATAATATTTTATTTATTGAAATCCATCACCTTAGTATATTTTAGTTAGAGGGGAAAACCCATGGAGTCTGACGCATTAAAACTGTTCTGAACTTCAACGTGAAAACAAAACTGACTAAAAACTAATTTCTCCAAATAAAGAAATTGGTGTTCTATTTGTAAGGATACAGTATGGTAAATACTATTCCAGTTGAACTGGCAGGAGTACAGATCAACTCTGGGCTCTGTTCATTCAGCACAAAGATTATGAAGCATCTGTCTTCAAATTAATATGCAAATGAGCTTTGATGATTTCTGAATCATGTTGTCTTTGCAGAAAATAAAACTGGCTCTCATTCAGTGATGTCAAGAACCTGACTTTTGCCTTGCACCCTGTGCTAAAACCAGAAATTATAAATCACCTCTAAATGAATGTCATATGATGAATGTGACATGTTTTATGACATGATACTCGAAGATTCAGAGACTCCAGTTAAGATTTAGTTTTTAATGCCATCTTATTTATACAGATGATAAAAGACAAAAATGATGAAATATGGCAGGAAGTACACAAATGCAAGTGAAACAGAAGTCCTTAAGGGTTTATGCCAATGTCTCACTACACAATACACAAAGTAACAATGATGTGAAAGACAAAGTCAAAATGGAGAAGAATGGTACAAAATAATATAAAGTATAAACATGAGAATGCAAAATGTGGACGTGAATTTTTGTTATTTAGAAGAAGTGAAAGAAGAGAGAATGATAGGAATACATTTGTGTTTTTTGTTAAACTGATCATTCTGGGTAGCATTTTACTGTCATGAAACATTGCTTTTCCTAAATCAGTGCAGATGCAGCCATGTCAAGTTCAACAAGGTTTGCTGATGCATCACAGTTACAACATTGCTCCACCCTGACGTGGAATAGGCTTGCAAATTCAAAGTGTTCACCACTGGGACAATTGTGATTCAAAACTGACACTCAGTCTCTCTATGTACTGTATACTGTATACAACAGTCTTTGGTCATAGAGGTTATTTCAGATTAAAGCAGTCTCTCTTCTTTTGATTAGATCTATTCACGTCAAAATCATCTTTTGAAAAGATCTATTTATGTAATAGAACATTTTACAATGCTTAAAGCTAACAGACATTAGCTTCTGAGAAAACGTGTTCTGCAGTATAAATGCAAGCTGTCTGAGACTGTCATTGTACAATTACAATAAAATGAAAATGATACTTTACACTTGGACAGGCATTAATTTCATGGCATGGCAGTGGAGCAACATCAGAGCATTCGTTTTTCTGAGGATTAAACTAGCCATGGAGATATCAAACCATTAGGCCACCCTGAAACCCATTTATTCAGCTTTTTATTGACAACATTTCATTTCCATACAAATGTTCTTTAGATCATTCTGAAGGGAAATCCTGCAGGCAAAGATACACACTGGATAAAAAGTGCCATTAGAAGCAGCAAGAATGGATTTCTCACTGCATAAGCATTATTATTATAAACAGGAAGCCCCATGTTTGACTCAGAGGAGAGAAGGGAGAGGCCTTTCTTGTTTATCTTCATACTATGACTATAGTCAAAGCCCATTTTGCCAGATTTTACTAGCTTTAAGTACTTAAAATACAAGTATAATATACAACATATGATGTAGATGTTTTCCATGTTTAGTGATGCATCTACACATGGGCTTGTTCATTACTGTTCATCACGAGGATGAACCCTCTGTGCTCAGTGAAGTTAAAAGCAAGTGTTAAGTTTTATACTGCCTGAGGAGCTCTCTCTGTGCTCCTTCTCTCACATTAACAGCTGGAGCAACAGCTGTAATAGTGTGTAAAATAATTCTTTATGTTTATGCAAGAAACTTCTCCATGAGGATATATGCATATATATTTAAATCATATTAATGTATTGTATTGTCTTGCTGGCTGTGCACACAGTACAGTTGCCATGCCAACTCAAGTGGAAACCAGGAGGCACATGCACTACTATCCATTGTATTAAAGTCATAATATTCACAAGGGGGATTTTAGGGGGATCTTTAGTGGGATTATAGGGACTTTTATAGGGACTTTGGTCACTGAGCTGGTACAAAGCCAGTACCTTTTGTATCACCACCTTCTTTCTTAATCCCAGAAAGGTATGACATCTTTGTTTCTTCTACTGCTACAGTATCATACTACATTGGTTTGTTCATAAACAAATACAGCCTTCATTTGAACTGCTCAGTGGATGGGAATGCAAAGAAAATCATGATTTAATTGCTTCTTTGTTTGCATATTTTCCAAAGTGAAATCATTCATCACTGCATGAGCAGACTGAAGTCATTGCTATCCAGCTGACTTAGTTTTTGTTGTACTTTTTCAATCATGAAAGCATTTCATGCAAAATGGGAAGCTGAAAGATGCCATCCTTTTGTTGTTTTTTCAAAAAAGTATACCCTGTTACATCCCAATGTCATACACACTGCTGTCACAAAACCACAGAAATAACTTTAACACAGGAAATCATCCCACATTTTCACTTCCATTTCCATGTTTTTCAGTTCTTACCCCACCGTTTTATCACCTTAGATTTGTAAAAGAAATTGGGGTCAAGTAAAAACATGGTTGTTTCTGGCTATTGGAGATACTGAAAGTGCATAAAGTAGTGTTGAGACTTAAAGTTTAAGTGCAGTGCAAAGAACAGCAGTGGAGCATAGAGTCAGCAGAGTGTGAAAAGCATGCATTTGTGTCATTGTTGATTCCAGTGATTTGAAAAGAGTGTCCTTGTTTTCTTGGCCTCAAGCAAGTGGTTGTTTTCAGCAGCTCTGTTAATACTGTTAAACTGAGACTGTGCAACACTATTCTCCTTACTGTGAGAATATTGCAGCCATTTCAGCTGTCTACTTCTTTTATTACAAGTTAGACTTATTTCTATCTTACTTATTACCAAAGCTTGAATTACAAAGTAGCATAAAAAGTTGAGTCCAGGATTGAGGGTCACAGACTTAAACACCTCTGTGCTGTCTCTGCAGCTGCTACCCACCCAACGGTCCCAGTACCCCATAGAGACTGTGTCTCCCCCCGACAATCTAAATTATATAAATCAAAAATCAACTTGAGAGGAGTTCATTCATAAGACCCTAATTAAAATGAAGACAACTCCTCTTATAGTAGAAAGTAATAGGACAATCAAATGTGGACTATTAAATATCAGATCTCTCTCATCTAAATCTCTGTTAGTGAACGATTTGATAAGTGAACATCACATTGACTTATTGTGTCTTACTGAAACATGGTTACAGCAGGAAGAATATGTCAGCCTAAATGAATCCACTCCACCTAGTCACAGTAACTGTCACATCCCTCGAAACACAGGCCGAGGTGGTGGCGTGGCAGCGATCTTTGACTCAAGCCTATTAATCAACCCTAGACCTAAACATAGTTATAACTCATTTGAAAGTCTCACCCTGAGTCTCTCACACCCAAACTGGAAAACTCAAAAGCCTGTTCTGTTTGTTATTGTATACCGTCCACCTGCTCCTTATTCAGAGTTTTTAAGTGAATTCGCATACTTTCTTGCTGATTTAGTGCTTAGTACAGATAAAATAATCATAGTAGGCGACTTTAATATTCATGTAGATGCCGACAATGACAGCCTCAACAATGCATTCTGTTCATTATTAGACTCAGTTGGCTTCTCTCAAACTGTAAATAAACCCACTCACTGTTTTAATCACACTCTTGATCTTGTTCTGACATATGGCATCAAAACTGAACACTTAATAGTTTTTCCCCATAACCCTCTTCTGTCTGACCATTTTCTAATAACTTTTGAATTTCCATTAATGGATTATACTCTATGTGGGAAACAATTCCACTACAGCAGATGTCTATCTGGCAATGCTGTTACCAAGTTTAAGGAAATAATTCCATCTTTATCTACTTCAGTGCCATTTGCCAACACAGTGGAAGGAGGCCACCTTAACTTTACTCCAACA